GTGTTTGGGTGCTAATCTTCATCCAGTGGTTCTAGATGAAGCAATTGCCAAGGTCTCCATAGAGAGAGAATGCTTTGACATAAAACTGCACAACAAAATTAACTTAAACATAAAAGTTCATCTTCCTTTTTAACCCAGCGATTTTTTCCTTGTTTCAAAGTTTACAACTGAATGCTTTTAGGGCTTGGTGCATGACTGAAAAAGTCTTTTAGAGACCCTGTCTGTTTTCTCGAATCAATTTTTACCATTTCTTACAAGCCGCCATAACACATCACCCTCTTCTCTCTCAACATCTGAGCAAAAATTGAATTAAATGGCACTTCATTTTTCTACAAGAGGTTTGTCACTCCACGAGTCACCTAACACGAGAAAAACTCAGAAAAAAGCCAGTAAGGGAGCAAACTTTCCAGGCAGCATTATTCACAATGGCCAGGACATGGAGTCAACCGAAGTGTCCTACGATAGATGATTGGTTAAAGAAGCTGTGGTACATATATCCAATGAAATATTACTCAGCCACAAGAAGAGATGAAATACTGCCATTTGCGACAACATGGATGGACCTTGAAGTAATCATACGAAGTGAAATAAGTCAGACAGAAAAGATTGAAAATCACATATCACATATGTGGGATATAAACCTAAAAGGAACAAATGAACAGGACAAACAGAGACTCATGGACATGGACAATGGACTAGTGGTTACCAGAAGGGAGGCGGAGGGGGGAAATAAAAAAAGAAAATGTTTACAAAAATTATGTCTATATAGTATGAAAAAAATAATAAACTGGCATTTAAAAAAAAACAGGTGAACACAATGGCAAAAGGAAATTTTTTAAAAAATCGTGTTTACGAACAAGGCAAAATAAGCCAAAAGGGCTAATGCCGGGACTTTCACGGATGCTGGCTTCGAGGATGCCCTTCTAGGATGAGCCTGGGCAAGGACCGTGAGGTCAGCTGAGCTCTTGTCTTCCCCAGACTGCTATCGCAATTCGTCACCCTTCTGCAGTTTTTCTTTACCATTTCACTATGGATTTAGTCATTGGTCACTGGTAATTTCACGATGAACATCAATTGTGTGTCCAGGCGTTATAATCCCCGTGAGAGAACTTAATTCTCAGAATATGTGGAGAATTTGACTCCCATCAGTGATCCTAAGTATTCGCTTAACTAAGAAACTAGGTCCTCTGATTTTTTAAAAGAAATGGAGGATAAGATGATGAAGAGGAATAGTCCCTATTTGTTCTAGAAGTGTTAAGCCCTGCAGCTGACCCAAACTTTAATCACTTCTCATAGGCTTGCCCTACACCCTATATATAACTGGCTCCAAACCCACTGGCTTTTACAATCCCAGCCACCAGATGACACAAACATTTCTTGGGAGTCTCGCTGACATTTCTTTCAATGCCTCTACCTCCTGAGTCCTAAAGTGCCTTGGCCTTCATACCCTCCATACTCTAGTTTTAAAAAGATTTGGTACTTACTATCAAAAAGCCATTTCATTTGCTTACCCCCATTTTATAAACAAGTTATGAAAACAATGGGGATGGGGCGGGGGAGACCTTCAAACCCTTTTCATTCTAAAGAAAAGCAGAAGTGAATCCCAGGAAGGAGGTGTGGACTTATAAGGATGTGGCATTTCCTCAGGATTCCGTGGGAACTCATTGATTTCATTTACAACAATTGAGAGCTGCCTCTGTGCTTCGTGTATTTTAGCTTCGGCTGGCATGGGGATTATTTTCCCCAGGAATGCTCAGACCCGAATACAAGGGCACCTTCAGGAAGAGGAAAAGGAAGAAATACGGTCTAGGATGTGAACCAGGAAATTCTACTGCACTGATTTAAAAGACTATCATGCTGGTGCCTAGTAAATTCTACTACCTTTGGGGAGTTTACTAGAGCTGTGACATTTTCCCTTGGACACGAGATCGTTTTGCACTAAGATAGCCATATTATTTCCCCAATAACCAAAAATATCATTTCCTGAAAAAAGGTAGGAATGCTGATTGCAACTGAAAATTACACAGGACTTTGTGTTCCTCAAACCCTCACTAAAACCTTCAAGACCAAATAAAGTTCAGACTCAGAGACAATATTAAAGTCCATCTGAGCTCATCTCTCCAAAGCCACTTTCCACTTATTCCCCCTCACACACCTTCTGTTGCTACAGAATGAACATTCTGTGTACGTTCATTCTTCATTTTTCCATCTCCATGCGTTGGTTTACCCTGCAAGCTGTGCCCTTCCCGTCCCTCCGTACGCCCAAATAGTACCGACCCTCGAAGGCAGGCTCGGATTGTGCGCTATCTCCCCCCATCCCCAGCTGGAAGAAATTCCTCACTTCTCTGAAAGTCCCAAGTATTTAATCCACACCTTTCTTATGGCAGTTAGTTTTTTTATTTTGTATGTATCTAGTTGCTCTTTTGTCTTAGTCAAGATAGTAAGCTCCCTGTGGGAAGGGTCCTTGGCACCCAGCACAGAGCAACACACACAGTGGATGTTCCATACACACTAATGGAATGAACGAACTAGCATGGCACGTTAACAAACCAACGTAACTGACCAAAGGCAAAGATTTACACCCTCATGCAGAAATACTCATTGAGTACACACAGCTCATAGATTAACAGTGTCCAGAAATAAGGCAAAAACAAGGCTGTGAGCACTTTTGGTGTCATACTAGAACACATTCTATCAAGCCAGCCTAAGCAAGTGTCATCTGACTCTCTAGGATGGGATATAACAGAGATTGACTTTCTAGTCATCATTGATTAGGGCTTAGCCTCTCTGCAAATTTAAATGTTAAGCTAGAGAAAACTGAGAACAGGCAACTTATTTTGTCCAAATGTTATGATTTTATTGCTCTTCAGGTCACTAACCATTTTTGCATCTAATTTAGCTCTCTTATTCCAGCATTCTTTCCCCCCTACCAACCCCCTTTCCCCAAAGTTTGTATGTATCGGTTTCTGTTGTCTTCCTTAAAGCCAGCTTTATCACCTTGCTGGTTCCTTCATCGATGAGTAAGTAAATCTTCAATGTAGGCTCATTTGATTATTATATGAGAATTGGGTGCTGAATTTCTTGAAAATTGTACTTTGAGAATATTGATAATTATAATTAAGGGAACACATGTAAAAATAGGTACTGCTAGTATCATTATTTTTCTGCTTGTAATTTTCTTAATTTTTATCTAGAACAAATTTCCCAAGTACCAAATCTACTCACCCATAAACATCTTTTCATTCCACAGGATATATACAAAAACGATAGTGAAAGGAATGAATATTCTTTACTCCTTGTCTAGAATAACTTAATTTTAGTTGGCATATAATTTTATATTGGATATATTAATTTCAGGTGTACAATATAGTGATTTGACATTTTTATCCCTTACAATGTGGTCACCCCACTAATTCTAGTAATCATCTGTCACCATGCAAACTTATCACAGTATCCTAATGGCACGTATGTGCCTATTTGCAAGTCTGGTACAATCGACTCCGTAATAGCTTTATTTTAAAAGCCTATATCTCAAGTAAATATCTAATCTTTTGAAATGAAATGAAATCTGCTTATAAATTTCTTGAATAACACATCTATTTATCGCCAGAAATTTCTGAACATTTTAGAATGTAATTTTACACGTTCGGATGACTAGCATTTTGTAAATTCAAGTCATATTAATATTGCATTAGGAACAAGACAGTTGTTCTGAAATCATTACAGGCCATAATGGAAACCAGACAGTAATGCTCTAAGAAGTAACTAGCTAAAATTGAATGAAATAATCACCCAATCCATAAAGCATTTGTAAGATTTCCCCATAAAACACAGGTATTTTTTTTTTTAACTGAAGAGAAATAATTCTTTCTTATTGTCCTAAACATCAAATGCCATCACATCATAAAAATAAAATATAGTCCCTGGAACAAAATGGATATTTTGTTCATCCATTTATTCCTGTAATACGTATTCGCTTAACCCTACAATAATGAAAACATTATGCTTGTTCACTCTTATTTACAATGTTGTTCAATCAACAAGGCTCAGCATGTTCTCTGGAGAGACATTGCCAAAAGCGAGTCCACTCAAAGCAGGGGGTTAGAAAGATCTGGGTTCTGCAACGTGCCCTTTCTGTCACCGCTGGCTGTACACTCTTCGATCCCAACATGTCGCAATTGTGGTCGATTTCATGGAAACATATCTGACAACCTAGATGCAGCATTTAATATACACCTGTAGTGACCTGAATCGTGTCCCCCAAAAAGATACGTCTCCCAGGCCTAATCCCTGGTACCTGTGAATGTGACCATATTTGGAAACAAGGTCTTTGCAGCTGTAATCATATTAAAGTGAGTTCATACTGGTGTAGGGTGGCCTCTAATCCAATGACTGGTGTCCTTATGGGAAGAAGGCTATTTGGACAGAGACACGCAGGGAGAAGGCCATGTGAGGACAGAGGCGGAGATGACAGTGCTGCAGTGACAAGCTAGGGAACTCCAAGAATTTCCTGGAAACACTAGAGGGTGGGAAGAGGCAGGAAGGATACTCCCTTAGCACCTCCAGAGGGAGCAAGGCCTTACTGACACCTTGATTTCAGACTTCGGGCCTCCAGAACTACGAGAGAATAAATTCTGTTGTTTTACACCGTCCAAGTTTGTGGCAATTTGTTACGGCAGCCAATACGATGCCTTTTAAATATGTTGTTTTATTTTGTTTGTTTTTGTTTTCTTACTGTTCTTTGTAAGGGTGATTAAAATCTACAGTATTAGGGAGGCACAGTTAAGCTGCATCAGGGAGAGCTGGGGTGGGAGTGGAGGGGGCAGGACAAAGCAAAAGATGGGATTCTAGTTCCTTCCAACTTCATCCACCTTATATATTCAGCGTCTGCAAAAGACCTAATTTTAGGAAGGTTCCTGTTTTAAAAATATAAAGGGTGAGGATACAAAAACTATAATGTAGCAGTTTTCACGTGAAACATACCACACAGAGATACTCACCTCAACATGTTGACAGGTTTGAATGAGTTTAGCCAAAAGGGTCTCCAGTTCTGTGTTCCTCTTAATAAGGTTGGTGAGGTTGCTCTCTAAGTTTTGCTGTTCAAAGAAGAGAGGGAAAATATTATTCTGCATACTTTTACTACTTTACTATATACAAAATTACTCATACTCAGGAAACTCATCGTTTTTTTCAGAAACCTCAAGGAGATCTATGCAGTTTCAAGTATTTATTGATTTAAACTGGATTTTGAAAAGTCACATTTAGAAGAACGTTTTCAAAATGTTCAAATTTCATTATTTTTGTTCCTGCTTCATGCACTAACTCGGGCATATTTAACCGAATAATTGGTTATAGGTTACTTCTAGGTCATGAACTAGGGAGAAAGGAGGTAATACGCTTTCTATTCTTTTACCTGAATCAGAAATGGCAATAATATAAAGAATATATTCCCATATCAAATCAACTATTAGATTTTTAGGATTTACCATCTTGTGGGCTGGCTGAGCATCAATCCCTTGGAGGAAGGTATGAATTGTCGAGCTATCGCTGACATTATGACCATTTTATAGGCATTTATATGAAGTCCTCATCACACGCATTGATTCACTCATAGTATATTTAACTGTGTGTGCTTTTATTCTTTGCCTATCGACCTATCGATGCCAGATCAAATGTCCTTGAATGCTACAGTTTTCATATCACTATCCTGCTTAAGAATCTAGAATTAGTCCCTATTATTTTAGCATATGAAATTTAAAGTTTTCCACAATGACTATTAAATCTTATTTTCAACCACAATAACCCTCTGTTCTGGGTAAGGTTCATTAAGGGATCTCCATTCCTTCTCATTTTGTATGCTCTTCATTTATACCATTCATTCATTTATTTATCCATTCACGAGTATGTATTGAGCTTCCACTATATGCCAGACTCCGAGAGAGAAACTGGAGAAACAAATAAAAATATGCACTTCCTGTCCACAAAGAGATGGTAATGCGACTAGGAGAAAGATGCTGGAAACAGAGAAGGG